CTGGGTAACAAAGCAAGACCCTGTCTCCAAAAAGGAAAAAAAAAAAAAAAAAAGGAAAAGGCTATTTTATCTCAGTTATGCTATTTCAAAACTTCCACTAGAAAACTACTGGTGAATGGATGTTTCAGAGACAAAGATGCGTTTACGAGACTTGCCATTATCCCCACTATTCTACCTCCAAAAAATATACATTCTAAGTAAAAAAAAAAAAAATTAGATTTCTATATAAACTACTCTAAAAACATCTAAGTAACAACAATGTGCTTACTATTTGGAAAATAGCAATTTTCCAAATACATTTCCAAATAAATGGCTTAGCCTCCCATTCTGACCAGATTCCCAAAGCCATCACTTTTCGAACTCTACTATCTTTTCATCTTCTTTCAGAAGAATGAGGCTTTGGAATTTGGCACAAGCTTTGGCTTTACCCTATAGGTCACTTATTTATTTTTATTTATTTATTTTTTTGATTCTTTGTTTCAATGGATTTTGACCTTGCCTTTGAAAGTCCACTTTATCCTGGTTGTCAGCTTCCAGCTAAGTAGGCAGACTGATAGAGCCAGGGACTATGGAAATGGGAACGGATCTCTGAGGAAGAGAAGATGCATACCCAGGGAAGATCTGAGGAGTGGATTCTGTTGGTCAGAAATGGGTCTGGGAGCAGGGAACCTCCTGTAAACCAGACTGAAAATCAGACATAGATTTATATTTGGACAGTGGGCCTGAGCTGGGATCATTGGTGGATGAAGAAACCAGGCTGAGCAAATTGGGTATTTGGATGGTTCTGTCTTAGAAAACATTGAAAGGTGAAGTCAAATTGTGTATTACAGGGAGTCAGACCTGATGCAGCCAAGCAAGAGGATGGTTTCTCATCCACATTAATTGAATGGTGGCTCACTGCACTCCAAACTCAGGTCAGGTTCACTATTGCATCAGCTAGCTTCGGAGGCACTACCTACCATTTTGCCTGGAAAGCACCCTCACTCTGAGAAAATGTAAAACAACTTTCAGCCAGTTTGTGAGCATGATGTTTGGTTTCATAAACTTGTTTCTGTTGTTAAAGTACCTGTTACCTTTATGTGTCATGTTTACCACCATTGCTTGTCCTCCACCCCTAAATTTATTTGAATGTCATAGAACCAGAACCCAAGGAAACTGGTTTAAACATGGCTATGAGGAACACTAGTAGCTAAGTTAATTGTGAGTCACTTTAGGATTTTTGGAATAATTCAAACAGGTAGAATTAGGGAGACAATTGGCCTGGGTCAGGGTGAATTATACAGCTCTGTTGTTTTCTGAATTATCTCTTTTGTCTCACTTCCTGAGAAATCAAAATAAAATGATATCTGTGGTCAGATACCATATTGTGGGGCAGGGGATGGTGAATGAGAATTGAGTGGTAAATACCTCACCTTTTTGTAGGCTGAAATTCCCTGAAGTGTTAGAAGTACTCAATAAACCCACAGATTGTAAAATCTTGGCAGGCCATGATAAAGATGAATATTGTAAAGCACTTTAAATTAGAAAGTTTAGATGGACAAAAAGGAATAGAAATTGCAGATAACTGCTAAAGATTTTTTTGTCTGAAGATTTTTTTTTGGTAAACTGTGAAAAGCTTAGGGCAATTTAAAAGTTTTCTTTAAAATTTTCTTTTAACATTATAGTCATTTTTCAAATTCAGAAAGTAGATAAGCAATCAGAATATTTTTCACTGTCTATGTAGTTTAGCTAGTTCTATCATTAGAATCACCAGCAAAGAAGCTGAATTCAACAAGGACTTTGAAAGGTAAAACTTAACCTTAGTCTCAACTATTTTATATAGATTTTTTTCTGCACAAGAAAAGATGAAGGTTTGATTTAAAAAGTGTCCAGATTTATGTTTAGAAATGCAAATATATTGAATTTGATTTTATTTTTGAAGCTCAAAGTCCATGTTCCTCAGAATTGGCTACTTTGTTATTGTGAAGAGGCTACTGTGTTTAAATATTCTTCTTAGATTTTTACTATCCAAAGGCTTGGTGTATATGTAGGGTATGTATGTAGCTGAGGGAGATTTGTCTCTTCCTCACATGCAACATTTAATGGAGATGCAGGCTGTACCATTATTACCGCCTATGTGAATATTTGCTCCAATATTTAAGGCTGCAGCTCTGGAAAATGCTATAAATGCATAACCTAAAAATAATAATATTGTGAATATTTATATATCATTACCTTTAAGCATGTTTTTAAATTTTTATTCTACATTTACTAAAAAATGACTTGCAATTTGAGTAATTTTGGTAACTGGAAAAAACTGGTAGCATGTGAGGCTTCTAAAATCAACACAAAGGTCAAAATGGATATGGTGACAGTCCGTGGCATGCTTGCTTTGAAATATCTGGCTTTAATGTTTTATGATCATTTCATATGTTTTAGTGGTTTAATATTGTCACTAAAATGGCAGCTAATTAATACATTCATGCAATGTATAAAAATGCACCGAGTGCTGCACATTCTCCTGCTGCTATATTTATTCATAGCAGTGTACACTGCTTAATGTGTGCTTCTATTTGGAAAGCATTTTTGTACATGTTTGCCATTTGCACTTTCTCCTTGAGGACAGCCACAGTCTTGCACTGCCACTCAGTGTGAGGTATCATCAAAGAAATTAATTTAGAATTACATCTCCATTTACCAAAAGATATAAACTATTTTTGAAAATTATGGGTCAGATTGCTTGTAGATTATTTTAGGGTAGGTTCTATTGAAACAAACCTGAGACAGGGATTCCTAAACAAGAGATTTGTTGGGAGGTGCTCTCAGCGGGAGGGCTGTGAAGGAAGCCAAATAGAGGAGACGAAATGTGTGAGCAAGAAGGTGTCAGTGGAGACTGGCCACGGTTTGCTCCCAGTACAAAGGTATCATAGAGTTGATCCTCTCTGAAGGCAAGTAGGCTGACTTTCTGTACCTCCCAGTAAGTCAGTCATTGGTTATGGTTGGCCTTTCAGAGAGGAAAGCCTCCTTGAAAGAGGATGGGAGAGGCAGTTCCCACTTGGTCCAGGGCAATTCTCCAGAGAAGGAAGGGGCATCTGTGAGTTATCTGCCAAGATTCACAGCATCTTGATGATGGGAATTCCACTGAATAAAGGTGATCTGGGTGTGGTACCAACAGCATCCATTATATAGTCGAATCACAATTTAGAGGAACAGAGAACGGATTGGACCTAGCTTCTATTGCTTCCCCCTTCCCAAGGTACACATACCCGCACATTCACATTTATAATCAAATACAGGTGGAAATTCAAACTTTTTTCAAGTTCCTTTGATTAAAAAAACATTTTATAAACATTAATGAGGACATGGACTTTAGTTCTATTTTTGTTTGTTGTTTGTGGTATGGTAATGCAGAATTTTTGTGGCTAACTCTGTTATTAAAATGCATTTATGTTAATGTGAATGAAGATGGGCTTCTTGTGAGAGGACCTGTGATATTGTCCATGAAAACCTGAGGGTGTTTTAAATGCCAAGTTTACTCAGGCAAACCTTTCTTCTGGCTTAATACTCCTATTTGTACTGCTTTATTTGCAGAAGCCTTTGTCTGTACATGCATAACTGATTCAGACAGGACTGAACACTTGGTGTGTTCAATGAATTCATTTCCAGGTTTCTCTGCAATAAATTATTATGTCATACTGAAGAACTGTAGAATATTCCTCTTCCTGGTAGAACACCCCCAACTCTTTTTTTTTCCCTATTATGAAACAGAAAGGATTTTTTTTTTGAAAAAGAATTTTTCTCTCTTGCTACTTATCAGAATAATAAACTTGTATGAGAACATTGGAATTCCCATTAATATCACTGATTTAAGAGGTGTTTTATTCTGTTTTAAATTGTCAAATATTTTCCAGGGGCATGGAAGATATATAAGAAATTCTTTGAATTGCATAGTTAACTTTAGAGTATAAGACCATTGATATAGTAGAAATAAACAATGACAAGTCTCCTCTTGGATTAAGAAGTATTTGTTGCTAATAATATTCCCCCTGATTGCATTTGTATTTGATTATTCTAATTTATTAAACAGTAATAATCATATGCAAAATAAACTCAGAATATAAAAAGCTATTAATTCAGTTTAGAGTTCCAGCTGATATTGCAGACTTTTTACTCTGCACAAGACTTTGCTAATACTCTATAAAGAATTCAAACTAGGGTGGTGTCTAGGAGTGTTCTGATATGGAAAACGCCTTTTGGAGCATAGTGGATATGTTATTGGGAAGGTGACTTGAAGGTATCCTATTTATAAATCATTTCTTTAGTAGTTTTAATGCCGTTGGTTATCTTTTACTACCAATATTTAGTATTGCCTTTATGAAGCACTAAATAAAAGATAATTTTAGATTTTCTTTTGAAGTGAAACCTTAAATAAATAATTTTAGATTTTCTTTTGAAGTGAAACCTTAAATAAATAATTTTAGATTTTCTTTTGAAGTGAAACCTTAAATAAATAATTTTAGATTTTCTTTTGAAGTGAAACCTTAAATAAGTCTCTTCCTCAGTTTGTCTTTATTTTCCTTTACATAATTGCCCATTTAGCTGTCTACGTTTATACTTTTCTCCAGTTTAGACATAGGAACCTTGTTGAATAAATAAAATTCCTTTTTAATCTATATACATAATCATTTATTTTCTAATGTTTATTTCATTCATTGATCATGATTTCTAAAATATTGTTATAGGCAAGATAGAATAAATATTTTAAAAACACTGTGTTTCATCAGACTTATTTGAATTATGCCTGACACTCATGGCAAGACCAAATAAAGAATTGAAGGAACCCATTGCATTAGAATTTAGAAACTCTTCTGAAACAGACATTAAATTTGGCTAATGTATTTTAAAAACACAGAAACCTCATTTTGCATCATTACTGTCACTTGCTAATAGCTTGAACAGTTTGAGTCCTTCAGACTTCATGACTGCTCAATAATACATTGTAACATTTTTATTGCTTCTAGAAACTGTCAACTAAGTGAAGAAGAACACTGGATTTACCAGGCTATTTTGGATCAGTACCCTGGATATCTCTTTGGAAGAAGGACTCTGTATCTGGACATGTTACAAAGATATTTTCCTCACAAATCTAGGCATGATTTGGTGAGTGTTGGACCTACCTACATCCTGGCAAGTTAAATCGTTTTAGTAGTCAATAATTATTAAGCATGTACATATATTTTAAATGGGTCTTTAAAAATTATTTTTTTCTTACATGCTAGAAAATAATAGGGTTATATAATAATTTGAAAGCCTGTACAGGTCATTTTTTCAAGTTTGTCCTGTCCATAACGAGGTGGGCGACCTCCTCAGACAAAAGTCAGTCTCTGTGCCTACTTGCTGCAGAGATCTTCACTGTGGTCCCACGGCTGCTCTGTTAGTATTTGACTCCCGAATGTCTGTGTAGCCAGATGCTCACCTTCAAGGGGCTTTGCCATCTCCAGGTCTTGCCTGAAAGTGAAATGTCTGCTCCTCCATTCACAGAGCCTGCCCCACCTCAGTCTTTCTAGCCACAGGGAGGCCAGCACTTGCGCTGGGGCTGGTACTTTTATCTCTTTCCCACCACTAGAGCTCTGCTTGATCCTCCTAGATGGATCTGAAACACAAATACCCCAAATACAGAACTCAAAGATGTGACTGAGATTTTCCTAAAAAGGAACTGGGAAATCACTGTTTTATTTAAGTTTCATTCTTTAGTCAACAAGAACTCAAGGACAAAAAAAACAGAAGTTTCCCTGTCACCAATTAATTTCACAGTAACTCACCTTATAACATGCATGTAAACAAAAACACAGACTTTTAATTTTTAAATGCTCCATGCTATAGCATCTTATAATGTACTCTGCCTTTTTGTAATTGTTTTAGATTAAGCAAGTAACAACAATTCTCACATGTATATTGAAGTTACCATATATTAGTCACGTGGAAATTCCTGGAACACACATAACAGTGGATGAGAAAAATACTATTGTTATCCTTAGTTTTAGATGAAAAAACTGAAGCAAAGGTCACACAGCTACTGTGACCATTTTCTCCCATCCTCTTTCATCCTCTTCACCCCTCCCCCTTCACTTGGTAACAGATACCTGTTATATAATAAGTAATTCACTCTGGATTTTTAAACAACTTTCATTTATTAAATTAGATCTTTCCTTTTGTTCCCTATTGATTCTATTTGCTTCTGTGACAAGTTGTCTTTTTTATTATAACTTGTCCATTTTTATATTTTCCTATTATAATGATAAAGATTTTTACATTTACTTCTTACATTAGATTAATTAGCATCCATTTCTGTGTGGTGTATTCTTCCTTTCTTAATGTTTGACAGATATTAAGTATATTTTTGGCTTTATAAAACAAAGCTGAGGAGTTTACAGAACAGATTTTAGTAGCTAATACGTTTAAGTGAGACCAAGTAAGTGGTTTTACTGTGTACTGAATTAATCATACTTCAACTGTTATTTTAGGTGGGATGTACCTTATCCCGTTTGCTAGCTGCTTTTCTCACAGCTCCTAAGGGTTAAATAATGTATTAAATTCAGAGTCGTGGTCTATACTGGCAAAATAAAGATTTATTTAGATCAGTGACTCTCAACTTTGGAAGACACACCTTTTTCTGGGGAGCATTTCAGAATTATCCACCGAGGCTTTCCAGGCTACTCAGGTTCCCTCCATTCCTGTTCTCCCCTGAAGACTCTGCTACTTCCCATGGTTGAGATTCAATTCCAAAAGGAGGTACTGCTGCTGATGTGAAAATGCCAGGTCCCTCATGAGCATAGGATGGGAAGGGCTCAGTGCCATTGCTATTACTACTTTAAGTTTAGGCATCCTAACATCTGAATGTCACAGTAATTAAGGGTAAAACTTGAGTTTTCGGGATTTATGTAGCAATTTTTACATTTATTAGCATTTTGTCTAAATGAAACACTTGATATAGTTGTTAAAATACCAAAATTGATGTAAAGATGGGGTATTTTAAAAGCTATATATAGGGAAAATGTTGCTTTCTGCTCATAGAATCATTACCATTTAGAAATAAAAGTAGTGTTAGAGGTTACCTGATATACCTGCATCCTATATGAGGAAACTAAGGACTTAGAATCATTAAATGACTTGTCCTCAGTCACCAATTAGCCACAGGCTCAGAATTTTGGAGGTAGTACCTGGTTTCTGGTTGCTGTATTTATGATGAAGATATTTGACTCCCAGCTTTTCAAAATATTTGGTTATAATTCATTTCTATAACAATGACACAAAATATAAGCTCATTTTCATAAGGGTAAGTATCCACCCTCTGTTACTTTTCAGGTTGAACATGAGAAATATTGTGACCGATATCGCTTTGCTATGGAGCAGCGAAAGATCCTGATAGCAAATTGGAATAAAAATAGGAAAGACTTTATACAGAAGGCTATGGTGACACTGATTGAGGCTTGTACAACTCATGAAATGGAGAGTACATTGGCTAAGGACAAGAAAAAGCAACAGGAATTGTGTGCTGATCTGAAAGCCAAGGTAAGATGCTGTACAGGTATTTCAGCATTTGCCTGGATATTGAAGAATCTATTTTTCCCTTTTGTTCAAACTCAACCTAAAGTTTACTTTCTATTAAAAAAAAAAAAAGCCTATCTTGAATAAACCTGTTAGGTTGAACTGTATAAAACTGCATTTCTTAGGTCAAAAACAGTCAACAATAAATACAATTTCACATGGTTCAACTGAAAAGTTACTATAACAGGATGTTAATATTGAAGTTTTGATTGAGATATTCAATATTAACCATAGACACGCACATCAGATGGAGGTGCTGGATGAAAATGCAGGTGTAATGGTAAAGTAACTGTCTGATGCTGATTCAAAGACTCTTGGACTTCTCATTCACATGAGAAGACAGCAAAAAGTTCAAGTGAGAAGGAGGAGAGAGGCTTCATGATGACATACATTCTGGCAGCTTGCAGGGCTGTGTGTGAGTCCTCAGCAAAATGTGGGGGAGTAGACAGGGTTTTCCTCCTCCTCAGACCCAGAAATGTCTAGGGAGCTGGATTGAGGGTGGCTTGGGAGTTGGTAAGTAACCCTTGCTTTTAGAAGGATTGAGGACTGGTGTGATGTTTAGAGGGAAGTAGAGGAGCTGCCTCCGAGGCAGAACTGTAAGAGTGGCTGCTGTGTTGGGAACAATTGCATTCCCCAGGAAGGTCACAGTGCATGAGTCCTGGAGGACTGATGTGGATATGGCCTCCCCAGGAGTGTTGGCCAGGGCCATTAAAAGCAAATTGTATTGACGAATAACATACTTGAAGTACACAAATCTTGAATTGGTAAATGATATGGTAGGAGGATGATGCAACAAGAAATTTTATTTGCTTGATAGAAAACAACTGGCAGACTAATTAAGCTATACCAATTAAGAGCATATAAAACAAATGTCTCTGTTTTAAAACATTAGAGGAAAAATCTTTCATATGCATTTTTTAAAAGATAAAAAGGTATTTATTTCGACATTGCACAAGCTTGAGACCTAAAATGAATGGGAACTGCGTCAAGGCTGATCTGTCATGGGCTACAGTGCTAAGACATGTTTCTCCTCCATCTTCAGGCTGATAAGAAAGACACAGGGTCCAGAGGCCATGACAAGTTATTGTGTTCCTAGTTTTCCTAATATTCATTTTGCACATATTATCATTAGCTCTTGAGCTATGCTGAAAGTTATATTTCTTTGTATTGTATTGCACTGAGGTAAACATACATGTAGTAAAATACACAAGTGCACAGTATTTATGTATGCATTTGGATGAAGTTTTATGACACACGCACACCCATGGAAAACCACTGAGATCAAAACCTAGAATGTTTCCTGCAGCTCAGGAGGCTCCTTCATGCCTCTTCTCAGTAAATACAGTCCCCACCTGTAGCCACTATTCTGACTTCATGACCATAGATTAGTTTTGTCTACTTTGAACTCCGTATAAATCAAATGAGATATAGATAGTATATAGTCCTTTGTACTTCTCACACTTGTCATATCTGTTTCATCTTTGTGGCATGTTACAGCCATTTGTTCTTCTTTATTGCTATGTAGTATTTCATAGTATAAGTTTTCCTACTGACAGAAATTTGAGTCATTTTCAGGTTTTTGTTATGATAATGGCACTATCAACGTTCTTGAACATGTCTCTTGGTGGACATATACATTCATTACTATTCGATAGATATTATACTTAGGAGCAAAATCACTACATTATAAGACTCAGATGTGTTTAGCTTTAGTATATACTACCAAATAGTTTTCCAAAGTGGTTATACAAATTTGCAACCAAATTCAGTTGCATCACATTTTCCCAACATTGGTATTGCTAATCTTTAATTTCATCTGATGTGGTGACTGAGTAGTGGTACCTTATTTTGGTGTTCATTTGCACTTAGAATAAAGCTGTCTAGCATCTTTTCATATGCTTATTAGCCATTTGGATATCCTCTTTTGTGAAAACCCCACTCAAATCTTTTTTTTTTCCCATTTATTTATTTTATTGCATTTTACGTTTTGGGGTACATATGAAGAACATGCAAGATTGTTGCATAGGTACACACGCGGCAGTGTGATTTGCTGCCTTCCTCCCCATCACCTACATCTGGCATCTCTCTCCTTGCTATCAATCCCCAGCTCCCCACCCTCCACTGTCCCTCCCCTACTTCCCCCCGACTGAACCCAGTGTGTAGTGCTCCCCTCCCTGTGTCCATGTGTTCTCATTGTTCAACACCCACCTATGAGTGAGAACATACGGTGTTTGATCTTCTGCTCTTCTGTCAGTTTGCTGAGAATGATGGTTTCCAGGTTCATCCATGTCCCTGCAAAGGACACAAACTCATCGTTTTTGATGGCTGCATAA